CAAAAAAAAAAAAAAACCAGCCCCTGCTAAACTGCAACAAAAAAAATAGCCAGGTGTTCTGGTGAGCACCTATAGTCCCAGCTACTCAGGAGACTGAGGCAAGAGAATCGCCTAAGCCCAGGAGTTGGAGGTTGCTGTGAGTTGTGTGATGCCACGGCACCCTACTGAGGGCAATAGAGTGAGACTCTGTCCCTAGTTAAAAAAAAAAAAAAAATCCCTACTCCATCACTTTAACCTCAGTTTACAGATACCTTATCTGTAAAACACAGAATTGTGCATAGGATCAAACAATACATGTAAGGTTCTTTAGTCAGTATCTAGCACATAACCTACCATCAATGAGCAGTGTCATGACAACTACTATTTCTGCTGTTTACAAAGAATTCAGTCCTGTGTTATAGGAAATCCTGTAAACGAAGTATAATCCGATGAATCAGACATGTTAAAAGAATAAGAGCAGGGAACAACCAGCTTTATCTATAAAAACTAGGGCAGTCAAAGAAAATAAAGATTTTCTTTGGTATTTGTTCATGTAGTATTAGAATATAATATTTAAGTATGACATTAACCTTTGCTGGAGACAATATTTGGCATTTTCATAAAAGGACTGCCATGTTGAAGATCCATTGTCTCACCCTTCAGTTTGCCTTCATCAGCATCCACAAGGGCAAGTTCATCACTCAAACCCTAAAAAATATTAGTCAAAGGGGAGGGAGGTGAGGGGAGAACCTCTTAATTAACTGAAGAATGAAAGAAAATTCTTATATTGGTAATCTACGTCTAGCTTGTGAATTACTGAACGGAGAGAAGGCATATCTCCTCATGATCTCATCCTGATAGAGAAGTCCCAATCAGAAAAGACACAAGTTACGAAGTTTCAGCTCATCATTAGGAAAACAAAAACAAACTGTTTACTAAATAGAATAGTCTCTGAAAGTAGTGAACATCCCCATCTTCAATTTCAGCTGAGGTTATACAGTAATAAATTCCCATCAAAGGAATTTCTCACCAGACTGTGATCTCCTTGATTCATCTCCACCCATATGGTCCTTAGCATTCATATGAACTCGATAAAAGCTTTTTTAATAAATGGACTTAGTCCATTTTCTGTTATTTATAACAGAATACCTGAAACTGGGTGATTTATAAGGAAAAGGAATTTATTTCTTACAGTTATAGAGCCTGGGAAGTCCAAGGTCAAGGGGCCACATCTGGCAAGGTCCTTGCTGGTGGGGCCTCTGCAGAGTCCCAAGTTCAAGTCTCTCTTCCTCTTCTTATAAAGCCACCACTCTCAATCCCAAGATAACCCATTAATCCATAAACCCATCAACACTGAAGATTAAGTTTCAACATGAGTTTCAGAGGGAATACACATTCAAATTATAGCAAATTATAGTTAAAATACAAGGCTCCTTCTAACCCTACAATGTTTAGTTTTATATTCAGACAATAACACCTGTGGAATACAGGTGCAGTGGCTCATGCCTATAATCCTAGCACTCTGGGAGTCTGGGTAGATTGCCTGAGCTCACAGGTTCAGAGCAAGACTCTGTCTCTAAAATAGCCAGGGATTGTGGCCAGCGCCTGTAGTCCCAGCTTCTTGGGAGGCTGAGGCAACAGAACCATCTTAAGCCCAAGAGTTTGAGGTTGCTGTGAGCTATGATACATGACACTTTACCAAAGGCAACAAAGTGAGACTTTGTCTCAGAAGAAAAAAAAAACAGCAGAAACCAATTAGTACTATATATGTTTAGGATGCAAATTTATATGTAAGAAAGGAGATAAAATATATTTGTATTTGCAAAAGAAATGCTAGAGGCTACTTAAGAAAGTCGTTTAAATGGCTGCCTACAGTGGATATCATGCAAAGGTTAAATGGAAATTGGATGACAGTGTGACTTCCCCATTCTGCATTCCTTTTTATTACCTTTTTAACCACTGTGGGAAAAGTTATATTAACTACACATACTTTTATCTTTATTATATACTAAACATTTCCCAGGAGGAAAAATGCCTTTGTGGTAGTACTTAGAAATAAACAATCAAGTATTTAGAATTTAAGCATATAACCAACTTACATTGTTCAAATTTATTTGATTCTAATTATTGGAAAGCCAAAGCTGAACACTTTAAATTTTAAACTAGACTATAAGTGATTATAGATGGCTAAGCTATACCTCAAGGAAAAAGACTGTTGCTTAACGAAATACCAGTGCTTTCTGGATACTCTCATTCATAGAGGCTAGTGTAGTATACAACAGGATTACACAGTACTGATATAATTATCTCTACGTGATAGTTTTGGGTTTTTTTGAGACAGAGTCTCACTATGTTGCCCTTGATAGAGTGCCATGGCATCACAGCTCACAGCAACCTCAAACTCTTGGGCTTAAGTGATTCTCTTGCTTCAGCCTCCCAAGTAGCTGGGACTACAGGCACCCATCATAATGCCCGGCTTTTTGGTTGTAGTTGTTGATTCAAACCCACCAGCTCCAGTGTATGTGGCTGGCACCCTAGCTACTGAGCTACAGGTGCTGAGCCTAGACGATAGTTTTTAAAGTGTATCATAACCCCAGTAGCACTAAACATACCTGGCCCCAGATCTTGGTTTCTAGTGTCATTCTCCAATAAAAGAATCAAGGTTCCTTGTAGGGGAAAGGCTGACTCTAGGACTGGTACAGAAAATATAAAAGATGAAGAATCTGAAACTTTTACAGTTTCAGAAAGTCAGGAAGTACTCAAAACGAAATAAAAATCTCACACTGATGGAGTATGCCAAAGGGACAGCAGCCAGCTGAAAAGAGCTCCCAATGGCCAAAGCTGGAACAATTTAAGAAACTAGTTAAGTATTAGATTATAACCTAAAGTATTAAATAAGACCCATGAATCCATATGGATATTAACAAATGGCTGAATTAAGGCAGCACCTGTGGCTCACTGGGTAGGATGCCAGCCCTGTGTGCCCAGGGTGGTGGGTTTGAACCCAGACCCAGCCAAACTGCAACAACAACAACAACAACAAAAAATAGCCAGGTGTTGTAGCAGGTGCCTGTAGTCCCAGGCACTCTACCAAGGGTTAATAAGTGAAATTCTGTCTCAAAAAAAAAAAAAAAAAGACTGAATTAATAGGAAAGAAGAGACAGATCTCCCATTGAGAAGAATTAAAGTAATTTAATATTCTAGAGGATACTCATGGAAGGGAACATAATCCTTTAAAAGTCTGAGTCACACATAGGGACTTCCTTCCAAAGAGTACAGTATGGAAAGAGGGAAAAGAATAACTTTCCACCTCAGCCAGGTGACTCAGGTCAACATCCATGTCGGTATATCATATTGACAGTACGTACCTGAGATATGAAAATGACACTTTACCTCTATGTCAGTGGTTCTCAACCTTCCTAATGCTGCGGCCCTTTAATATCGTTCCTATGGGTCACGACCCACAGGCTGAGAACTGCTGCTCTATGTCTTCCTCCCTAAAACCCAAAACTCCAGTCTGACTGTGAGAAAAACAACTAATTACAACAGAGATGCATTCTATAAAATACTTGACTGGCACTCCATAAAATGTTCAAAGTCGGCGGGCACCTGTAGTCCCAGCTACTCAGGAGGCTGTGGCAAGAGAATTGCTTAAGCCAAAGAGTTGGAGGTTGCTGTGAGCTGTGATGCCATGGCACTCTACCCAGGGCGACATTGTGAGACTCTGCCCTCCCCCCTCCCGCCAAAAAAAAATGGTCAAAAACAGAAACCAGAAGTCTCACAGGTCTCAGGTGACTAAATAATGAGGTATCATCCTGGATGTGATCATGGAACAAAGGACATCAAGTAAAAATTAAGGAAACCTAAGTATGGACTTTAATGATAATTCAGGTTATCCCAAAGATCCTCTATAAAGTCACCATGCATAGGGAAAATAGGAAATTGCAGCTAAACGTACCTTAATTTACAAAACATTCATTACAAAATTTTATAAAATATTCACAAAATATTCTCTGTATGTGGGCCACCTCTTTAATTGTGACAAATATGCCATACTAAGGTATGTCATACCAAGGTATAATGTTAATGACTACATGTGGTGTATAAACTCTCTACTGCTCAATTCTTCTGTAAATCAGGAACTAGCCTAAAAACTAAAGTCTAGGCTCGGCGCCTGTGGCTCAAGTGGCTAAGGCGCCAGCCACATACACCTAAGGTGGCAAGTTCGAATCCCCAGCCCGGGCCCGCCAAACAACAATAATGGCTGCAACCAAAAAATAGCCGGCCGTTGTGGCGGGCGCCTGTGAGGCTGAGGCAGGAGACTCGCTTGAGCCCAGGAGTTGGAGATTGCTGTGAGCAGTGAAGCCATGGCACTCTACCCAGGGAGACAGCTTGAGGCTCTTTCTCAAAAAAAAAAAAAAAAAAAAAAACTAAAGTCTATAAAAATGTATTCTAACTCAATCTCTCTGGATCTACTTTCCTTTTTTTTTTTTTTTGAGACGGAGCCTCAAGCTATCCCCCTGGGTAGAATGCCATGGCATCACAGCTCACAGCAACCTCCAACTCCTGGGCTCAAGTGAGTCTCCTGCCTCAGCCTCCCAAGTAGCTGGGACTACAGGTGCCCGCCACAACACCTGGCCATTTTTTTGGTTGCAGCCATCGTTGTTTGGCGGGCCTGGGCTGGGGATTCGAACCCGCCACCTTAGGTGTATATGGCTGGCGCCTTAGCCGCTTGAGCCACAGGCGCCGAGCCGATCTACTTTCCTTATTTACAAAAATGAAGGATAAACTACCCAATATTTGTATTCATAATCCAGTGCTTTTTCCATTTTAATGTGCATTTGGATTTTAGCGATTCTTTCATTCAACTATTACACTAGACATTGTTCTACATTCAGGATACAACACTAAATTAAACAAAGTTGGATCTCACAACATACTACTGAAAGTTTATGTATTATGGTATGATCCAATAATTTTGAAAGGCATAATCGTTTCTCTACTAGGTTTGTACCATAAACTCCTGCCAATAAATTACTACACAAATACTACTGAGAATTCCCTCATCAGAAAGAGGTTTCTGGCTCAGTGCCTATAGCTCAAGCAGCTAGTGCACCAGCCACATACACCAGAGCTGGTGGGTTCGAATCCATCTCAGGCCACCAATGGGAACTATAAACAAAAAATAGTCAGGCGTTGTGGCGGGCACCTGTAGTCCCAGCTACTTGGGAAGGCTGAGGCAAGAGGATCGCTTAAGCCCACGAGTTTGAGGTTGCTGTGAGCTGTGACACCTTGGCATTCTACCCAGGGTAATAGCTTGAGACTCTGTCTCAAAAAAAAAGGAGTTTCTAAGATCTCATTACCTCTGTCAATGAAAGAAGTTGCATTGTCTAGGGCCAGGAGGAGAGAGTAAAGTGAGCAGAGGGACTATATACCTCTAGGAGCTTGCAGCTATTATCACTTTTTTAATGGATAGAGCTCAATCCCTCCCAGAAAGACTGTTCAAAGCAGAGATAGTGAATAAACTTTTACTTCAAGCTTCTGTATATAGAGTATCCATATGCTTACCAATTCATGCAACTTAAGATAGCTGTGCCTTTTTCTTCTCTATAAAATAGATGTGCTATTTACTTTTCAGGGTTGTGGTACTGGATAATGTAAATAAAGTAGATAGACATTATAATCGATGTTTAAAACAAATTTGGGCAGTGTAGTGGCTCAAGCCTTTAACTTACGAAGTGGGGCAGAACTCTCGAGTTCAGGAGTTAAAAACCATCCTGGGCAACATAGCCAGACCTTGTCTTTATAGGAAAATTCTCCAGGCATGGTGACATGCACTTGTAAGGCATCCTACTTGGGAAGCTGAAGGAGGAAACTCACTGGAGCCCAGGAGTTCAAGGCTGCAGTGAGCAGCATTCACACTACTGCATTCCACCCTGGCAGTGACTAGAGCAAGACCTTATCTCTAAAAAATGAACAACAACAACAAAAATCCAACAACCAAAAAACCAATATATTGGTTTTCATGTATGTGTATTAGCAACATGGACACTACTGATAAAGACATTACAATTCACACAGCAAAATGAGCCATAAGGAGTTTGTATAATTGGCAAGAACAGCAGTTGACAGCTACTGCTACTCTTAATGTCCTCAGGACACTATGTCATCTAGAAGTGAAACCCATTAATGTTCCATTAATAAAGGCAAAGTATAGCTCAAAGTTTGTTATGATTTACTGAACATTTAAGGGCTCAGATCAGGGTAATATTCACCGAAAAGAATCTTTATAGTCTCTGTCTCCAGCCATTAAACTAGAATCTATCAGCTACATCAATACTAAGAACTAAGTGAACATGAATAAGGAAGGAAGGGAAATAAAGACAGAAACTAGGAAATGGGGTGAGATACTTAAAGGAAAAAAGAGTATCGTATTTGGTGTTAGTAAAATGCCTACCACTGACATGTTGTGCACTTTTTTTTCCTGCCACCTACTTATTTTGTTTGTATTGAGACAGAATCTTGCTCTGTTGCCTTGGGTTGAGTCCTATGGTGTCACAGCTCACAGCAACCTCAAACTCCTAGATTCAGGCAATCCTCTTGCCTCAGCCTCCCAAGTAGCTGGGACTACAGGCTCGTGGTCACAATGCCTGGCTAATTTTCTACCGTTAGTAGAGGTGGCTCTAGCCCTTGCTCAGGTCGTCTGGAACTCCTGAGCTCAGGCGACCCACCCACCTCAACATTCCAGAATACTATTACAGGCATGAGCCACCGCACCCAGCCTCTAAATATCTCAAGCTGAGTTTCCGAATCAAGCCAAGGGGTAACTCATATTGTAATTACATAAGTGAAAATACAATGTCAACATAATTTCACAGAACTTCTAACACCCATGGTATCACCACACAACTCAGAAAAAGGACCTCCCTCTAGGTGGAACAATTAGAAAAAGATACCTGTGAGTCCGGACCATCCCAGGACATACGACCAATTGAACTGGACAAAACCTGAGTAAACATACGCAGTGGCCTTGCCTCCACCCGAGGAAAACCTGCTTAACCCCATGGCACACAGCTTACTTTTTTTTTTTTTTTTTTGTAGAGATAGACTCTCACTTTATTGCCCTGGGTAGAGTGCAGTAGCGTCACAGCTCACAGCAACCTCCAACTCCTGGGCTTAAGCGATTCTCCCGCCTCAGCCTCCCAAGTAGCTGGAACTACAGGCGCCCGCCACAACGCCCGGCTACTTTTTTGTTGGCCAGGCTGGGTTGAACCCACCACGCTCGGTATATGCGGCCGGCCCCCTGCCCACTGAGCTACAGGCGCCGCCCGTCACATAGCTTACTTTTAATAAGATGTTGAGAGCACAGGCCATACCAACAGACCCAGTTCCTATAATGGAGACCTTGTTGTGATGAATGGCTTCCTCCGAAGTGAAATTCTTAATAAGTTCATGCTTAACAGTCGCCATCTTGGAAACCTAATGAGTGAAGAAAAACTGCACAGCCATTTCCAGATTTGGGATTGGTCTATAGTGAGAGAATACTGGTACATATGGAGAACTCCTGGGCCCCAGTGTCGCGGGAGGTGCTGCAGACAGCACAAGGACCTGCAAACCTAACTCAATAAAGCAGCTGGGTAGGTAGTTTCTGGCTGCTGGCATCCATGAAGCAAATCAAGAAAGGCAGGCAGGCAGGTGGGTAAGGTTAAGAGAGAGTGAAGGAAAGAAAAGGGGCTGCTCGCCAAATTTCTCTGCCTCCTCTCTCCTTCCCTCCCCTCCAGCTGTCCACCTTGTCGCTCTCTCTCCCCTGTCTCTGCTCCAGGACCCACACCCCCTTTGCAGGCCCAGGCTCCAGGTACATCCGGCCACACTTACAGGCGGGGAGGACCAGCCGCCCCGGGGCAAGTTGCAAGCCGCCTGGCCAACGCGAAGAGCCATCCTCGGGCACAGGGAACGCGCGCTCTGGGCTCCCATCCTCTGGCTGGTCAGTAGGACTCTGGCAAGCCAGCTCATTGCTGCTCACTCTAGAGGTGAGAAAGACAACGGAGGGACACAGCCTTAAGCTCCTCTGGGGCTCTGTAACTGTCACCACAGCTGTGCAAAATCACGCCCAGCTCCTGCAGGGCCTCATAGGGGCCTAGCAAGGGCGCGGCCACGTGCCCGCGCCCACGTGCCCTCAGCCTCGTGCCCTCAGCCTGCGTGCCAAGTTTCCTGTGGTGGGCGGGCTCCAGAAGGTTCCTCACCAAGCACTGGAGAGCCAGGTAGTTTTATTTCTAACTAAACCTAGCCTAGATGTATCCAAAAAGAGCTTTTTCACCCTCATTTGGAAATTTATCACCGGTGCTGTAGGAGAAAAAGGGACCCCAGGTGTTTTTACCACATCGAATGTGAGCTGAAGTAGGAACAATAAAAATTTTTAATTCTCCATGCGAAGGGAATTTTGAAATAAGAAATAAAACTCTAAGAATTTGACAGAGCGCAATAATTCATAACCATGTCTACAAGTGGAAGACAACAGTAGTTAAATGCAGAATGCAAAATTAAGTCTGTAATAAACCAAGATTTCGGGCGGCGCCTGTGGCTCAGTGAGTGGGGCGCCAGCCCCATATACAGAGGGTGGTGGGTTCAAACCTGGCCCCGGCCAAACTGCAACAAAAAAATAACCGGGCCTTGTGGTCGGTGCCTGTGGTCCCGGCTACTCCGGAGGCTGAGGCAGGAGAATCGCCTAAGCCCAAGAGTTGGAGGTTGCTGTGAGCTGTGACTCCACGGCACTCTGCCAGGGGTGACGAGGAAAAAATAAACCAAGATTTCCCCCACCACGTTTTACCTGTGTTTGCTAACTCGTTCGTAATCATATCTGGCAAATTCTTTTGTAGAATGTAGAGCAGTGTTTCTCAGCCTTTTTTTCATTATCAGCCCCTCCAGAGTCTTTTTAGACATTTACCCCCAATCGTTCCCCCTATTGTGAAATTAAATATTAAGGAATAAGGTTTGTCAGGTAAGATTGCTCTTCAGAATGTCAACCCTTAATAGCTAAGATTTGTTTTCACACACACGCCCAAGAACCAGTTCTCACACCCTTGGCGACAATTCTGACCTGTTGAGAATAGGAGAGGTAGACCAGTTTTACTTACTACTTCCCAGAAAAAAAATAGATAGATAGATAGATATAGATTGATAGATTTACGTTTCCCACTGAAACAAATCTTACTGTTGCAAGGATAAAGCAACTTATAACATTATCCGTGTTAGTGTAATATTTATAACCAAATCATTTCTATTTAGGAGTTTAGTTTTTACAAAGTGCTTCCTTTAAGAAACGGCGTTAGGTAGCAGAACACTCAAGGGGTTTGCAGTGAAGTAGACGTAATTCCAAAATCCTGAGAAAATGGAAATAAAAAAAGAAGTAAAAGAAGCAATAAAATAAATATGCAATGATGAATGGGAAGAGATGTAAAAACTGCTCTTGGGCTCATAGTTGTTACTGTATTTGGACTCTGCCATGTGGAAAATGAAATGAATGATGTAGCTCATATTTAGAGTTTGTCATGAACTTGAGCAGTATAAATAATGAATACTGATTTTTTTTAACTTATGCAAAGTGAAACATCAAAGGAAATTCCAGGAAAAAAAAGTTATTCGGACTTCAACCAGTTTAAAAAGTAAATCTATTACATAACAAATAGTCCGGATGTCATCGAAAGCAGATGCCAGTGAAAGGTTTTAACCACTGAACTCAATAAAAGGAAACATCATCTGTGACCATTTCCTTCAGTGACAAAGGAGGCCAGCCAGCTCCTTAGGATTCAAGCCCTTGGTGTCTGAAGTGAAACCCACAAGCAGAAACCAATTCAAATGCAGAATAGAGAAACTCTTGAGAAATTCCAAAGAAAATGCTTAAAAGTACCATATAGTTACTTGCATATCACAAAGGACACTGAAGTACATTAAATGAAAGAGACAATTGAAGGGTTCAATTTTTTTGTACATCTCATTTGATTTGGAATAAGTTGATTTTAATTTAGGGTAGTATGCACAGTGTTTCTGTTTTTGTTTTTAAGAGTCAGTAGCTTGGCTCGGTGCCTGTGGCTCAAGCAGCGAAGGCGCCAGCCACATACACCCAAGAGGGCGGGTTCGAATCCCCAGCCTGGGCCCGCCAAACAACAATGATGGCTACAACCAAAAAATGGCCAGGCGTAGTGGCGGGCACCTGTAGTCCCAGCTACTTGGGAGGCTGAGGCAGGAGACTCGCTCGAGCCCAGGAGTTGGAGGTTGCTGTGAGCAAGATGCCATGGCACTCTACCCAGGGGGAAGGCTTGAGGCTCCGTCTCCAAAAAAAAAAAAAAGAGTCAGTAGCTTTCTCAAATTTCTGATATAAAAACATACATATACATCTATTTATATACCTACGTAGACACAGCAATTCACACCCACACCTAGCTTTCCAACCTTCCTGCTTTATTTACTGTCCTGTATCGTAGGTAGTGTCATCATTAATTCATACTGAAATGAGCCTGGCTACTTATCAAGCATTCATCAATGCTAAGAAAAAATTATTTTCACTTTCCCAGTGGCTTTGTATTTCATACAGTTTGCTTTAATATCAAATCAAAATGGTTCTTTTCCTTTTCCATGAACTATTTTCTTAGTCATTTGCTAATGGTGTTATTTTTTCATCCAGAAATGCAACTATTCTTTGGTGTGTAATTCAGAGTAAATAAATTATCACCAGACATACGTTTTGGGAACCCAAGTGCTGAAGTTAGCAAATACCACAATCTGCATTTGACTTCTGTGCCTTTCCTGTTATTTACCAAGTGTCTCCTTCTGTGCCATAATAATTTAGAGTTCAAAGTGAATGATCCTTCTAAATGTTAGAAAGCCCCAAATCACCTTTATTTCATTTGCTAATTTTCCCTCATATAACCATAATCTGAAACCACTCCCCTTACCCTCTAATTTCAAGCAAAAATCTTCTTGTAATGTGAATTTTAAACATTTTTTTCTTTTTAAATTTATTGTTGGGGATTCATTGAGGGCATAAGAAACCAGGTTTCACTGATTGCATTTGTTAGGTAAAGTCCCTCTTACAATCGTGTCTTGCCTCCAAAAGGTGTGTTATGAAGAGGTATAAGAGTAAATTTAATACATAATATGAATTGATTATATAAAATATTTTTGTATGGATTATTACTATTGGGACTACAGTATCACGTGCAATTCATGCAGAAAAAAATCTTGAAGATGACCAAAACTAATAAGAATATGTAAACAATCAACACAAATTTATTTAGAAAGGGTTTTACCCATATCTTTAATTCAACAGTGGCATTTAAATATAAAATAATAGATACATGTACATAATTTAAGTCAACACATATGTAACAAACCAGAAACCCTTGAAAGAATAAAATTACAAATCTAATTGAATATTTCTTGTAAGGATGTCTTACAAATAATTTTAAATATTTATTTGGGCATGTTGTGAAAATGATAGCTGATTCTTTCCAGTAGTAGGACATTGTGCTACTTGATTGTGGTGATGGCCTTATACTGAAAGGGGACCATTTCAATTTTTTTTTCCATATTTTTATTTATGTGACCTTGAAATCATGAATAGGAAAAGATCTAACAGACGAGCTAGCCCGTAATCTTATTTTCATGATTAAGAAGAGAAGTCCAAAAAGTTTTCCCATTCCCAAAGTTATTATACTAACTTTTCTTTTCTTTTTTTTTTTTTTTTTGCCACTTTTGGTGGGGGCCAAGTTTGAACTGGCCACCTCTGGGATATGGGGCCAGTGCCCTACTCCTTTGAGCCACAGGCACCACCCTACTATACTGACTTTGATTGCAGTAGGTTTGGAAATAAAACCCCAAGATTCTTGTGAGAGAAGGTTTGTAAATTTCTAAAACTCTTTCAAAAGCATAGACCACAGATAATTTAGGGTATTGTTATTAAGTGTCATTGTTAAAAACCACGAGTACTTCAAAACAATATCGAATTTCCTTTCAGGAATTTAAATGTCTTACTTACCTGAAACTGAAATATGTAAACTTCTTATGTTTCTCGTCTTAGTTAGATTAGAAAATAATCAAGACATTTAAAGGAAATGAGCTAGCTAAGCTTGCTGCCTATTTATGTACATGGATTGCATCTGTTTTTTCTTTATCTTCGCAGTTAATAATAGCAATATGTAGCAGCAAGCCAAAAGAAGAACACAGCACTGTATCTTTCTATCTGTGTTTATTCATTTAAAAAGTGTAGGTAGTTACTAATGTTGCAGTGCTTTTGTGAGAATTAATTGTGATGATGCATGTAAAGAATTTAAGAGTGTCTAGTACATAATAAACCTTCAATTCACTGGTATTCACCAGTATTTCATTACTGTTATTAAGTGATTGGCTTTACTAAATTATCATCTTCTCTAATACTACCTGATATCAATTCATTTCATATCTTTTCTTGTTCACATCCAAAAATTTTTAGCAACCACATGCCTCTTGTTAAACTACAGTAACCTCATTATTTTATTTTTTTTTATTTTTTTTTTTTTTGAGACGGAGCCTCAAGCTATCCCCCTGGGTAGAGTGCCATGGCATCACGCTCACAGCAACCTCCAACTCCTGGGCTCAAGCGAGTCTCCTGCCTCAGCCTCCCAAGTAGCTGGGACCACAGGTGCCCGCCACAACGCCCGGCTATTTTTTGGTTGCAGCCATCATTGTTGTTTGGCGGGCCCGGGCTGGGGATTCGAACCCACCACCTTAGGTGTATGTGGCTGGCGCCTTAGCCGCTTGAGCCACAGGCACCGAGCCAACCTCATTATTTTAAAGGAAAAGAGACTAGTATAATATCTCTTAAGCAACCACAACAAGCCAAATACTGCCAATGATGTTTCATGTATCACTCAATTTATTTTCACAATAATCCTACAAGGTAGATTTGAACACTCCCCATTGTCTAAGCACAGACACCCAGTTCAAAGAGATTAACTTGACCAAAACACCGAACAACA